ATTCTGAGCATAAATTTTGCTTTTGTTGCCATTTTCCTTAAGACTACCTTATTGCTTAATCCATGGAATTTTCAGTATCCTTCTATAGAACCACATTTCTGTTGCTTTCATTTTTCACCTCATCCGTGGTTAGATTGTCTAGCATTCACTGCCATAAAAAGGACATATATCACCGAGACATCCAGTCTTATTTTTTTTTTGTTTCTAATGATATTTTCTGTTTCTCAGGACATAACTTATATTTTAGAATGCCTCTTTCGCTCGTCCAATACCTGTTCCGATTTCGGTGTAATATTTTTAGTTTTTTAAGCAATAGCAACATTTTCGGAATTTTTTTACATGAGGTATTATGAAATTATTATTTTAACTTGTATTCCATTCACCTTAAAAGGTATAACCAAATGGTCTATTTAAATTTGTAGGAGAACTTGAGGTATTCGGGAAAGATATTAAAATAATTTTACTGGAAACAAAAAGCCTGCATACGGATATAAAATAAATTAGCCAGAGAATAGAAAGCGGTGTAAAGTAAGAATTCGTCTTATCACCGGATTTACTCAAATTATACAAAGGGGTGATCCGAAGAGAAGTGGAAGTCCTACCAGGATCTAATATGGGTAGGGACAATCTTAACCAAATAAGATACACAGATGGAACCATGCTGATGACAATCTGAAAATCTCTGAGAGGATTTCTAGCAAAAGAAAGCGCAAAGAAAGGATCATCATTTATTCATTTTTAAACTGGTATGTATGTATGTATATATGTATGTATGTATGTATGTATGTATGTATGTTTTGTTCATATCTATCTATCTATCTATCTATCTATCTATCTATCTATCTATCTATCTATGTTTTGTTCATATCTATCTATCTATCTATCTATCTATCTATCTATCTATATATATATATATATATATATATATATATATATATCTATGTTTTGTTCATATATATCTATCTATCTATCTATCTATCTATCTCAGGCTATTCTTATTTTTAAATGCTTGTTTTAAATGTTGTACATATTTTTTCATGGCTGTATTGCAGATATATATGCACATGAAAACAACCGAATTTACGTAAACTGGATGCTGGATTTTCCATATTTCCATTAAAATAAACATCTAGCAGCCGTTTTTATTATTGACGTGTAGACGCTGGCATAGAAAGAGACACACAAAACCACCTGAATCCAGGGATATACACAAGGGTCAGCAGATGCAAATGTCCCTCTACTGGATTGCATTTGTTTACGTAAGCAATTATATGCACATGCGTGTGCATTTGTTTAATGCCGATGCACTCATCTGTATCGAAGAAACAGCTGCCGTTCCCCTTGCATAATTCACAACAGAAAATTTCTGACGAACTGCATCATGGGAAGATCTCTGGATTTGGAAGATTAAAGAAGAAAGGGTGTTGAAGAATTCTGGCGAAGTGGCTACTACTGTCCTTTCGTTCTATTATCTTAGCCCGGTATAAACATAAAATAAAAAAAACGAAGAGTAAGAGACTTGAAACAACAGAAATGTGGTTCTACAGAAGGATGCTGAGAATACCATGGACCGAACATGTGAGCAATGAGTAGGTTTTAGATTAAATGGAAACAAAGGGGGCACACATACTTAACATCCTGAAGAAACAGCTGAAATTCCTGGGGCACATAATGAGGAAGGAGGGCTTAGGAAATCTGACACTCACAGGGCAGGTTAAAGGCAAGAAGGACAGAGGAAACAGGGCGTGACATGTTTGACGAGCTTGAGTAAATGGATGACGAAACAGGATTTCGAAGAAATGACAAAAAGACAAAGTTTATTAAGAGCTACAAGAGACAAGAAATTGTTCAGGGCAACACTCGCCTACGTCCTGAGGGAACATAAAGAAGAAGCAACTGATTATGATCTTTCTCATTAGTGGTGATCTTAGTGTCATTTTTTCACTAAATGAATCCTTATCAGTCCTTTTAGATCTGTACTTGATGGTTGATTGGAAGTGGTAGTACCTGCCTACAAAAACTAAGATACTAAAATAAAGAAAAAAAAGAAAAGTATACAATGATGAAATCATAGATCAACCGTAATCGAGATTATAGAATCATTGTGAACTTTATGATCTTGTCAATGGCTGGATAATATGTGCTATATATGGTATTGAATTTAGAGTTTTTCTTCTCCAATGTTGGTTACCAGAGAGCTCAGTCAGCTATTTAACACATAGTGAAAGTGAATATAACAAACCTTGGTTGGAATTCAAACTCAGATTGCTAACTCTAACTCCCCATTCCAACCCACTAACCATTACATCACTTGAACATTTTACCACTGATAAATATATACACAATTATCTCAACTATGAAATAATAATAATAATAATAATAAGAAGAAGAAGAAGAAGAAGAAGAAGGAGAAGAAGAAGTTGGTATAAATGAGAGGAAAGCGCCAGAGTGTGTTTTAAAAGATGAAGACAGAGAGAGTGAGAGAGGGAGAAAGTGAGCGAAACATACACATATGAATGAACAAATCATATTTACACTCCATTTCTCAATATATTTGTTACAAATGATAAATATTTTTGTCAGTCAGGTCAGTACAGACGTACACACACACACACGCACACACACACACACGCACACACACACACACACACACACACGTTATTCAGATAATAATAACAATTAGCTTCTTTCTCTCATCCAACCTGTATATTACCTATTTCGTTTTATTAGAATCTATCTATCTATCTATCTATCTATCTATCTATCTATCTATCTATCTATGTCATTGTATTGGAATCTATCTATCTATCTATCTATCTATCTATCTATCTATCTATGTCATTGTATTGGAATCTATCTATCTATCTATCTATCTATCTATCTATGTCGTTGTATTGGAATCTATCTATCTATCTATCTATCTATCTATCTATCTATCTATCTATCTATCTATCTATCTATGTCGTTGTATTGGAATCTATCTATCTATCTATCTATCTATCTATCTATCTATCTATCTATCTATGTCGTTGTATTGGAATCTATCTATCTATCTATCTATGTCGTTGTATTGAAATCTATCTATCTATCTATGTCGTATTGGAATCTATCTATCTATCTATCTATCTATCTATCTATCTATCTATCTATCTATCTATGTCATTGTATTGGAATCTATCTATCTATCTATCTATCTATCTATCTATGTCGTTGTATTGGAATCTATCTATCTATCTATCTATCTATCTATCTATCTATCTATCTATGTCATTGTATTGGAATCTATCTATCTATCTATCTATCTATCTATCTATCTATCTATCTATCTATCTATCTATCTATCTATCTATCTATGTCGTTGTATTGGAATCTATCTATCTATCTATCTATCTATCTATCTATCTATCTATCTATTTTTCAATGTAATATTTATATCGGTTTATGAAAGCAGAACAAAAGAGATTCCATGAAGGAGATAATATGTTAATTTGAATCATGTGTAATTTCCACTCGTAGAGATGAATGTGTGATCCTGTGTGCGAATTATACGTGTCAGTTAAGAATAAATTTGTAGTACACTAACATAAGATACAGTTCAAAGCAAAAGACAGTAGATTTTCAAGGATAAATCTCCACAACCATGCCCAAAATTTGAATTCTATGCCATAAATGGGATGCTGTGCATACGGTGGGATCCTCAGGGTATTATTTACTGAGATTTTTTAAAACGCAATGAAATCTAAATGCACACTTATACATCCAGCAGCTGCAATGTGCCCATAAAGATTTGGCCAAAAAGCGCTCTGCGCACGTCAATAGGAAAAATAACAAAATGCATATTTATACATTCAGCAGCTGCAAAGTGTCCATAAAAGTTTAATCGCTTGTCAATAGGAAAAATGTCCACCATGACACACAAAATCACATACGGCAAAAATATCACAAAAAAAAAAGTTTGTGACTTTGCACGAGCCGATTATAACCTTGTTCGATCGCTTCAGAAAGCTTTGAATAGGCGTGGGGTAGCATTCACTTTTAATGAAAACCAGATTCAAGATTTCTTTCACATCAAAATCTTCTGCAGTTTACTCAAAATGGACAGAAATGTTGACTGATAAGTGACACGAAGTCAGTGCAAATAATGGCGAAGATGGAATGGAATAAAATGTAATTGTATTTTATTCTTTCAAGAATAAAGTTGATAAATAAATAAAAAAAAAGTAAATGATTTATGACTCAGCCGCTTAAGTATAAAATTATTAAATTACGTTAAGGGGTTGTTCCGTCAGTGATCATGGCTTGTGCAGCAATATTTGGCAAGGGACAACATTGCTCAGGTCCAACAACGACCATATTCCCCAGATTTCACCGTTTGCCACTTTTTCCTCTTCAAAAATCAAATCCCACAAAATTTCAAAGTCGTCGAGGTAATTCAAGAGGATGCGACTAGGCAGCTGCTCGCTATCCCCCCCCTCCACAAAGAGTTCCAGTAATGCTTCCATCTATGAAAACAACGCTGGATAAAGTGAGTGGCTTCAAATATTGGACTACTTCAAAGGAGATTAAATGCCTAATAGATATGTGTTGTAGTTTTTTTTATTATTTTTGTTTTGTTTTTATGATACCAGTCCCGATAGTTTTTGTTCAGCCACCGTATCGAGGGCAAGAAGGAGAAATTGAAAAGAAAGATGACTGAACATTAGAAGACGTATAGAAAATAAGTAGATGTAAAAGAAAAGAAAAAATCTAATTGAAGGGGGAAATCTTTGCTCCCTGAGAAGAACAAGCATTTTCCCAAGGAAGAAAAAAATGAAAGTTCTGAATAATATTAATAACATGGATGAATAGAGAGTGTTGATTCTTTGTATCACGATGATGATGATAATGATCACAGTTGCATGTTAGGCACTAGATACGAGTAGAAAAAAAACGAAATTATTATTATTATTATTATTATTATTATTAAGGAACTATGAAAAATATCGATCATATTCTATTGATTATTTCCAGACGATCAATGAGGTTGCATATCTGGTGAGAGTGGTGAAAAGTGAAAGATAGATAGAGTATGCACCGATAGAGAAAAATAAAATAAAAGAACTGAGAGAGTGAGAGAGAGAGAAAGAGAGAGGATAAAAAATAAAAGAACTGAGAGAGTGAGTGAAAGAGAAAGACACAAAGAAAAAGTGTAGAGAAAGAGAGAGAAAGAAAAGCGATGAGATATGAATGAAATAAAATAGAAAAGAGTTGAGCGATAGAGAGAAAGAGATAAGTGAACGAATTGGGAGGGAGAAAGAAACAGACAAAATGTTGAATGAGAGAGAGAGAGAGAAATTTGAGAAAGAAAGAGAGAAAGAGTTGAAAGAAAGTGAGAGACAAAGAGAGAGGGTCGAGAAAAAAAAAAGAAAAAGTTGAATGAGAGAGAGAGAGTTAGAATATGGAAAAAAAGAGGGTGAGAAAGCGTTGAGAGAGAGAGAGAGAGAGAGAGAAAGAATCGAAAGACGAAGAGAGGTGAAATATTTGTACGTTGGGTAAGAGTGTCTGGATTCACATCCTGAAAGTGGTGCGCACCCATGTTTGCAGGTCGATAGTGGCGGGGTTGACGACAGCGGCATACGCGCTGGCTTCCTCACTTTGAACGGAGGTGGCATTTGCCGTTGCGCATGCGTCACTACCAGTTTCATTCAGCGCGCGCATGTATGAAACGATATTTGATTTGATTTATTTATTTTTAAGCAAGAGAGGAACAGACATACAAACGGGCGTACAGACAAATTAAGGAGAAGCACAAACAGGGAGATAGAGTAGAAGACGGCACGAGAAAAAGAAAGAACGAAAAGATACTTCTATACGAAAACCGGACAGCTATTTATTTAGCTTGGTAGAAATCATTAAACAAAACATGCTACCGTATTTCTCGCTGTATAAAGCGCGTACTATTATTTAAGTTAAAATCCGTCAGAGACAAAAAAGAGGAAAAAAATGCAAGAAACCAGAAGATATAAATCATGCAATAAATAATTAATGCTTTTTGAAAAATTTAATCAGTTTAAAATTCATTCATCCTTACTGGAATTTTTAAACTTCTGAATATCTGTATCTGTTGTTTTAACGTTTCATAAATATCATTGTTATGGTAATATGGTGGCATGTTCACTTGGAGTAACGGACCAAATTGAGCGCACTGTGTATAGAGGAGGTTGAACAGACAGTTGCGTACTGGACATTTTTGTCCCAAACAAATGCGTACCAGACAATTGCATCCCTGTATATTTGCGTCTCTAGACAAATGTAAGAGAGCGAGAGAGTCAGTGATATATATATATATATATATATATATATATATATATATATATATATAGAGAGAGAGAGAGAGAGAGAGAGAGGGGATTTGAACAGGGACTACAGTGGATATATAGAGTTCGATGGCACTGCTGAATTCATATTTTTTCTAGTGATGGAAAAGATTCTACAGGCTAGGCTCGTAAAAAGTCTCTTCAGGGGACCCAATTTTTATTCCAGCGATACTAAAACGCTTTAACCGCCACCTAACTCTGTTCACATCTTCTATTTCTTCTCCGTAAACGTGAAATGATTGAAAAAAAAATGTCCAGGAAAGACTAAATGTCTATAAAAAAAGTGCAGAAAAGACAAAATGACTGAGTAGGTGGAAAGCGATGTCAACCTCGTCGTACACATGAACTGGCACTGTTTGTACTGAATGTAACTATTTGTACTTGCTTTTTATCAATGACTTAAACTTGCATTTTACCAGTTTTTCATAGTGGTCAATCTACCGCTTTTAAGTTTTATGGTATCCAATTAGTACACTGTTAGTCACTCATAAAGATGAAGTATAAATGGTTATCATAAAAAAATATTATTTTCCTTTTGTACAATTTTAAGTATAAAAAAAAATTGTTAATGATTTGTGGCGAGGGAAAAAAGAACTTTCTAGTCAGCCATTTTTGTTTTGGGCTTTACTGACCCAAGCAAAGGAAAGTAAATTAGCGCCCACGAGGCGACGCCGTGTCAAAGCCAACTTACAAGGAAGGGAGTGAAAATTATCCAGAAGAACTTTTTTTTTATAATGTTTGCACATTACAGCCGACTGGGAACAATAAAGAATGGATCGCCTTTTCGATATTTCTGATTATTTGGTCCAAAATGAGTTTCTATGATAATCAGATCAACAAGTACGATCCTTCATTTAAGGCTGACTTAGCACACGCATATATATATATATATATATATATATATGAAGATGTATGTTATCAGTAATCAAATCCTAATGTACATAAAAATCGTTATATTGGCTTTTATAGACACGCAAGCACAAGATTATTGATATCATTTTATATACATTTAGTAATCAAAAGTAACATTAAATACAGTGGGTAATCATGTTTCTTCACAGCTTCATTGCTTCTGTTGCCTTTTGCTATTTTTCTTCAACCCCCACCTTTATGTCTTTTACTGCCATTCAGTCCTGTTGGGTCGATTACACGCTATTTCCTCTAACCTGTCGAGTCTTGAGAGTTTTATATTCGCCAATCTCTTTACCCTCATTGCGTATTTTTGCTGTCTCTTTCTGAATGCTAGCATCTGTTTCCTCGTTGTTCCTATTTTCCTTAAACGTTTCCTTGTTGGTAACATAATGTCTCCATAGTTTCGTTAGCATTCGTAGATTGAGCCACTTCAAGCACATCTCTATCAATTCAAGTCTCTTCTACATTTGTGAGGACACTGTCTAGCTTTCTTTGTCATGGAGGAGATTAAGTATCACACAGCATTTAATTTTATTATTTCTTATCTCTTAATACTTTGCTTAGTTTATGAAAGGCATGGGGAAATTGTCCAGCACCCACTGCTCTATAGACAATTAGATATTACATAGCAGTTCAGATCTCTTTTCGTTGTTTCTCGGGATATTACCTATTCTCTTAATACTTTGCTTAAATTCTGGAAGACATTTTTCAATGCCATATTCCAATGCGCATGAAGACTTTTGTGTGTACTTTGTATTCTGTTAGTACAGCTCTCGTGTTTTTAGGATCGTTTCGCTGTGTCGGTTAAATAAATTCGGTAAGGAAATGCATTCTTGTCTTACATCTCTTTTTATTTAATGGTTATTCACAGAACTAGTTCCGTCTCTCTCACATACACAGTCTCTCTCTCTCTCTCTCTCTCTATATATATATATATATATATATATATATATATATATTATTTTTTATAATTTAATAAGTGGTTAGCATTTATTTAACGATACTTTAAGTCTGAAATATTTATTGGTTGTGATATCTGATTGTCTATGTCATTGTCTGTGGATGTATGTATGTGTATCTATCGGTGTCTATGTGTATGTAGAGTGTATTCATATTTAACTGTGTGTATGTGTATAAGTGTTGGTTTCCATGTCTCCTCCTTTCATAAAGGGCTGTAGAGATGTTCATGTCTCGCCCCCCCCACCTTTTTTTGTGTGTGTGTGTATGTGTGTGTGTGTGTGTATATCTAATTATGTCTGGGTGCTTATGTATTATAATCTGATTGTGTTTTTGTTGTTTTGCGCGTGAGTTTAAGACCACATTCACACACTTTAAAATAAAAAAGGAAAAGAAAGGGAAAATAAAATATATATACATCTATTGTCAAATGACCGGATATATTGTAGCGTCTTGTCGAACGTAATTTCAATGAAGAAATGAATTGAATAAACATATATATTTTTTCTTTTCTCAATAATTTTGTAGTTTTTAAACTTAATAGTGATTAAATTTGGATTTTAAAATTGCCAGTTTTTAATTTTAATATTAAATTTTATCATATAATTTTATAATTATTGGTTAGTATAAATTATTTTTAATATTACACGTATTTTAAAGATCTGAATAGCTATTATAACATGATTTCGTTGTCAAGCTTTTGAATCTTTCTATACTTGGTTTTTGATTGGTTATGCTAGCTTTTGTAACAATGTTTCCCCCTAGTGTAGGATCGTTAATTAATCTGAAACTTTTAAAACCATTTATTTTATTTTCAACATCATCACTTGATAAGACACAGAGTGTGTTGAAACAAAATGGCTATTTTTGTAGTGATTTTATAACATACTTATGTTATAATTTTTTTATAAAAAATAATTATATCTGCTCTACTTTGTATTGAGCACTCTTTTAAGAATAGTAATTGTTGGTTATTGAATTCATTCAGTATATACCAATTATATACTTGGTATATATATATATATATATATATATATATATATATATATATATATATATATATATATATATTACATATAAATATATATATATATATATATATATATATATATATATATATATATATATGTAATTTTTTTCTTGCCTAGTCTAAGTAATATTAGTGCTTATTTGTTCTTGTTTAACACAAAAATCAAATTCACTAAATTGATGAATTTGTCAGCAACACAACTTGTTAACAATGACACTAAGTCATATCTTTGAGGCTGCTTATATGCAAAACTAATATATATATATATATATGGTCTCTCCTGTCGTATTCGACGTATGAGGGTCAAGCAACTCTGTTCCTAGGAACCGACAGCCAGACACCTGCAGATCTGATTTGATTATAGTGGTGAAGGCTTTGCGCAGAACCAACCACGCTTTCTGAAGAGACGAATACAGAGACCTGGTGCACCACGTGCCACAAGGTCCACAAACGAGCCTCCGTAGGTTTTGAATTCAGAGTTGTCCTTCCAAGGTTATAGAACTCAGCCTGTCTTGCTATTTTACCCATAGCTGGAGGGAGAAGAAGAGGATTCACACCTTTCTCAAGGGTATTAGCTCGTAAGTGAATGTAATGGATTCAAATGGAATTCGAACTCGGCTCTCCGATTCCTCAACTCGAGCCGCTTTCCATAACTCCACCGTGCGTCCATCTATGTAAATATACATGGGAAAGTCAAAAATTACCCGCGCATAACACAGTTTATTTTATGCCGGAAGTACGGATAATTTGTTTTACTTACCCTGGAAGAGGTATATATAGTGATTTTCCAAGCGTAGCTCAGATGTGGCACAAGGTCCAAAGTATGGGAGTATATATATATATATATATATATATATATATATATATACAGAGAGAGAGAGAGAGAGAGAGAGAGACAGAGACAGAGACAGAGAGAGGGGGGAGAGAGAGAGACAGAGAAGAGAGACTATATATACAGTGCACGGATATAACATTCTAATCCCAGAGAGATCGGGGGCAGAAGTACCGCCGAATACGTAAATAATTCCGTCGTTTTAACGGGTATTATTCTAGTAATAATAATAGTAGAATATTGAGGAAGGTACTGGAGATTTTTGAAGTACTCATGTCACTTGATTTATACCGAAAAACGAATAATAATAATAATAATAATAATAATAATAATAATAATATACAGAAACCGCTTCACAGCCAATACTCTACCCGTACCAAACAAGCTGATGTAGACAAACGCCGTACCCATCAGTGGCTACGTAGTGAAGGGTTAAAAGCTGAAAGCGAAAATTTATTCTTGCTACACAGGAACAATGCTTGCTAACTAGAAATTACCTAGCGCACACACTGAAAAATTGTGTTAGTCCAAAATGCAGATTCTGTGATAAATATCCAGAAACAATTGACCATCTTGTAACAGGTTGCGCGGTATTGGCACCCACTGAATATAAAACTCCGCATGGCAGAGTTGGTCAATATCTTCATTGGCAAATCTGCATTTTTTACGAAAAGGAAACTGTAAGAAATTAGGATGAACACCGCCCAGAACCGGTTACAGAGATAGGATCTGTAACAATTTTATTTGACTTTACAATACACACAGAGACAGTACAATCAAAGCTAATCGCCCAGACATCGTGATTAGAGACTGTAAAGACAAAATGTGCCTTCTTATTGATATGTCAGTCCTTGCAGACTTCAATGTATCTTTGAAGATCTTCAAAAACGGGCATAATACAATGATCTTGAAATCGAAATCTCAGAAATGTTGCACATGAGGATATCAACAATTTCAGTTGTAGTTGAAGAAAAAAGATTCCAATCGACTCATTGAAGGGATTCCTGGAAGTCCATACCGTAAAGAAAAGCAAACAATTGTTCTCATAAGTACAGCCCACACCTTACGAAAAGCTTTATGTATGTAAAATATGTGTGATATTTTTCCGAAACTGCTCAGTTTAAAATGTCATGATGTCATTTCTGACCTTAGGTCTCTGATCGGAACCCAGAAAAAAATGAGTACACACCAGAAATCAAATAAATAATAATAATAATAATAATAATAACAACAACAACAATACTGGTTGGAAAAGATTGCAGTAGACTAATTGAAGGGATTCCTGGAAGTCCATGCCTCAAAAAGATACAAAAAATTGTTCTGACAAGTACAGCCCATGCTTTACGAAGGGCTTTATCTAATTATTTTTTTTTTTTGTCAGTGGAAAGTAACATGATGCCATCTCTAACCTTAGGTCCCTGGGCGGGACACGGAAAGAAATTTGTAAATGCCAGAAATCAAAGAAAATAATAATAATAATAATAATAATAATAATAATAATAAAAATAAAAACAAGAATAATACCAGTGGTAATAGGTGCACTTGGAATTATAAAAAATGGAACAAAACAACACATTGAAAGAATCCCTGGAAACCCCAGCTTAAGAGACATACAGAAAATTGTCTTATTAAGTACAGCACACACACTAAGGAGAACTTTGTCTATGTAACGCTAGCAACTTCATCGGAGATAAAAAAAAAAAAAAAAAAAAAAAAAATTAACATGAAATGTGGCCATAACAACACACCACGACCTGCCTTAGGTCTTTCCGCAGACTTGGTAGGTAGTGTGTCCATAGCAGAAATCGAATGATGATGATGATAATAATAATAATAATGCAGTGGTTGCTTGGTTACTGGGAAAATTGCTGCCACATGATCTCCCAGTGATAGACTTTATATGCTAATGTTGTGAAAACACAATGTGCAGACCAGCAACAATAATAATTGATTTTTTTTTTCGATTGCTATTTTGTTTAAGTGTTGAGCGAATTAAGACAGGCCCGCAAGCACGGTAAATTAATTGTGTATGTTTAGTACTTAATCCGTTAGTCACATGGTTATGGCGAACCGGCAAGAGACATAGAAAATAAAACTCAATTGGGGTTCAAAAGTATGTCCCTTTTAAGCAGAGATGACCCTGTAACACGGTGCTGTAATACCTACAATAACATTGGTTGCGTGTCTTTTTTTAAAAGAATCGTTTCCCAGACGTTTAGGACCTGGTGGGCGGATTTCTTTTATCACGTGTTTGAAAGCATGTTATGGTTTTAGATATAACAATGTGTGGCTGTTGGTTAATGCTAGATGCAGAGACGAAGGAAGGGAGGGATAAGATATTTGCTGGCAAAGTGTGTGTTTAGTACATTCTGTCGACTAAAAGTATTAGTTAGACTTTTAACAGCAGAGTGTCCGATATCGATTCATTCTCTTACTTTGGCTTTACCTTTTTTTTAATTCTTTCGTTTGATTTTGATTTTTCTTCTTTCGTATTACTTGAGTTTTTTCTCTCTTTGCTAGATTCTTTCTTTCTTTCTTTCTTTCTTTCTTTCTTTCGATTTAATAATCACTCTTACATTAGGCGGAAAGAAGGCTAGGTGAATATAAAATTTACGAGGCACATTGAAAGCAATGGAGTAGTGACAAACCATGAGAAAGTTTAAGCAAATAGGAGGTGGGGCATGTTCCACAAAGATAGGGGGAGAAGTTATGAGGGAAAGCGATCTATAGTGAGTGATGGCATTCCACATCTTGAAGTGAGATATGAGAGAGAGAGAGAGAGAAAGAGAGAGAGAGACTGACAGACAGACAGAGACACAGAGAGAGATTCTGAGATGAAGAATTTTTCATAATAAATTTTTGAATGAATTTTCTTTGTACGAATATTTTTTTTTTTTTTTTTATCCCAACGATTGTTAGCGTAAACCTGCGTGAAATTGGATTAAGGAAGTTGCTTGCAAAGCACAACAGGAATTCGTATCCTACTTCATTCATTCATTCATTCATTCATTATTCTTCATTCATTATTCTTAATTCATTCATTATTTTTCATTCATTTATTCACTCATTCATTATTTTTCATTCATTATTCTTCATTTATTCATTCATTATTCTTCATTCACTCTTCTTCACTCATTCATTATTTTCCTTCATTCATTATTCTTCATTCATTCATTAATAATTTTTCATTCATTTATTATTCTTTATTCATTTATTCACTCATTCATTATTCTTCATTCATTCATTTTTCATTCATTCTTTAATTCTTTTATTCGATTATTTACTATTTCTTTCTTGCTCGCTCTTTTTATATTTCCTTGCCATCTTTGTTGCCATATTTATCACAACATTTCGGCCGCTATACACTCCGGCCTTCTTCCTTAATGGCACAGTGGATAAAGGCGTTGGTTAGATCCAGTGACAGGACCCAAAGAGTTATGAGTTCAAAACCTGGTTAAGGCAGTGGAGAACTTGGTGAGGTGAATTAATATGAGATACTGATAAATGACATCCATTAGACATGGCACGTGGAACTAGAAGAGTCTACCCCAGCGAACGAAATAAATGGTTCAGTTCACCATTCCAAACACCTGAAGAAGGCCGGAACGTACAACGACCGAAACGTTGTGATAAATATGGCAATAAAGATGAGGACAATGGTCCGAATAATGTAAATAGTGTAGATATTAAATGATTTATTTAGCTTCATAAAAGAGTGGTGGTTATGGAGAGCTATGATCACTCGTGTTGTAAAATGATTTGATATGCAAGAGAAGAAAAATACTTCGTTTCTAAAAGGCATCTTCTGTTGGAATGACGGAAGAGGGATCACAAATAAAGTGATGGATGGTAAAATACACCAGATATAGAGTAACAACAATAAAAAAAATCTCGTGTAGAATAATAATTGCCTCTATCCTAAAAGAACATATCTATAAGTACACCATTCGTCTATGCTTAGAATATTTCTGCTACATATGGTCCGGTGCTCCTACTATATATCTAAAGATCCTTGATAAAATCCAAAGAACCATCAATAACATTAGTCTTAATCTTGCGTCACGGTTTCAATCACTTTCCCATCGCCGTAAAGTTGCCACTCTGTGCCATTTTTATAATTACCTTTCATGGTAATTGTTCAGATGAGCTCTTCGCTATGTTACCCAGACTTTATGAACTGAGCTAGACTGGTGACGAAGTCTCATCGATATACAATTGAATCACAAAATCTTAAAAATCTGTTTTTTTTTCTAAATTAATTTCATTGAATGTTTTTTAAAAAATAAAACGGTATCTTAATGAATTCCTTATTTATTAATTTTTTTTTAATCATTTCACCCCATGCAATGAAATAAAGCTCTTAAGATGCAAGGGAACAGAGAAAAAGAAAAAAAAATACACCATTTGGGAGAGAGAACTATAAAAGAATAGAAGACAGAAGATAACGATTATCCAGATAAAATCAAATTGAAAAGCAAGAAGCCTGAAGAAATTCCCATTAACGAGAACTGCGAGAGAAGAAACGTTAGCATAGGACATACAGACACATCTAGCAATTTTAACTGCAAAATGGTGAAACCAGGCTGCCAATTTAGTCAGTCAGTCAAGTGCCATACGGTGATCATGTATCTTTCGATACATAACTGACGAGGCAGATTTTTCCCCTCAGTAGGTTGCCATTTCTTTCTGCCGTAGACTTGGTGACAACCAAGGCTAAAGAACCCACTCTGTCCTGCTATTCAACCCATATCTGGAGGAAAGAAGAGATGGATTCATATCTGTCCCAAGGGTATTTGCGCAAAAGTGGATCTAACGAACGAGACTGGAATTCGAACTCGGCTCTCCGAGTTCTCACTCTGGGCCGATAGTATTGCCATTAAAATTGTAAAGTCGAGATAGCGAGGAGGAAATCAATATTTATTTTATAAAGATACAAAAGTGTGACACAATGTCAACGGGAGCGATGAGGAAAGTTGGTCTTCTGTTTTGTAACTAAACCTAGCTAGCCACTATTACTGACTCAAACACAGCACAGTATTCTTTACACCAAGGCAACACATTCATACTGACCATGTTTGCTATATACACCGTAATACCTCAAGTCTCTATGAAGTTCTAACTAGTCCCCTAACTAGTCTCCATATGTACAATTTTTATCGGGGGTGGAGGAATTAAAAAAAATGCAACTCCAATGTGTATCAAAGAGGAAAGCTCATCCGAAAAATTGCCATAAAAATATGGAAAAGTTACATGGAAGCTACACCACAGCGGTGGGAATGAGACTAAAGTCGATAAGCCAGGGTCTGGACGTTCGGATTTGTAACAGGAATCACTTAATTCTATATATGCTTACTTCAGTGTGATTTCCGAGGAAGAAGCATTAGACAAATACAAAAAAAAAAAAATTATATAAGATTTAAATTAAAATAATTTCAGATTATTTCACATTTTTGTGTATAATCATATAATTTCAAAGCCTGCAAATTTGTAAAACCCAAGATAGACACCCGAATATAAATTAACTCTCGATTTCCCTCCCACTCTCAATATTTTACACCCACAAACGCACGCATTCAATGTTTCGTACGTTTACACTTTCACCATCTGTAACTCCCCCCACGCATTCGTCGCCTCAGGGATAAAAGATACTTATCTCTTAACTTTCCACTCGCCGACAAATAAACAAATGTTTATTTATTTTTCTTACTGTAGTTGGTTTTTCGTTTAAAAGATTTTAAAGTGCAAGTGTCAACCAAGGCTTTCGGGATGTCGAATAACTTGATTAAACCGGGCTCGCTCAACTGGAAATTAACGTGTTCAATAAATCGCTTATATAAAACGTTCACACTCGAGATGAAACGTTAACTTTGAAAGAGTTTTTCAGACAATTATTCTTTTCGGGGTTTCTCTAGGTCCCTCACGGTATAACACGGTCTTATATATTATCTTGTTTCACAATGTACTGTCTATATATTTGGTTTATTTTTCTCCAATAGAGTCACTGAAAGACAGAAAGGTGGTGTATCTGATTTATCACAATGAATATATAATATAGGCTTCATGTATTTTATGTTCTATACGCACGCAAACGCAAATATACACACAGGGTGCGATGAGTAAATTGTCGCCATTTTATATTTTTAATTTCGCGCATGCGTGTTGTTTGTTTTGGATCCTGCCGACTACACAAAAAAGTAGGGTCAGTTGGTCACCGTGAGAAAAATAGCACAATGACGCGATTCAATTCGCTAGAAATTTGGAAACGGTATGCTGCACTGCGTGGCATTCGCACCGGAATCTGCAATACGAACATTTCAGAGTGTTTGAGTGTCAGCCTGAGGACAGTGCAGAGGATTCGGAAAGAGATGGATAAGTCTAATGGTGATTACGAAGGTGTATGGAGTGATCACTAGTAATGGAAACATTATGCCTCCATTCATTTTCCAACAGGGCCTCAGACATAACACTGAGGCCTACATTAAGTGCTTTGAGGAGGTGGTGCTGCCCCGTGTCAAGAGAGTGGCTGCTGGAAGATCCTATGTCTGCCAACAGGACGCCGTACCATGCAACACAAGCAGGAAAACCCAGTCATGACTGTCTGACCACATTGCCCCATAGATCTGGTCACTTCCCAGACTGCAATCCCCTTGATTATTATGTGTGGGGCGGAGTTAAGTAAGAGATAAACAAGGTTCCTTGTAACACCAACACCAAAGATGAGCTGAAGGCAAGAATTATGGCAGCATTCACCAACTAAAACTAGGAGACCATCCAGTGGAGTTACAGAAAGTTCCGAACTCATCTGGAGGCCATGGTTGATGCCAATGGCGATTTTTATTAAATAATTTTACCCTTTAGTCTTTCAAGATATTTTTGTGTAATTTTGGTAAATATATCTGTTAAAATAAGATATCAGTGTTATTTTCATTTTAGCGTGATTCAGAAGACAATTTATCAATCGCACCCTTTAGATATATATATATATATATATATATATATATATATATATATATATATATATATATAATGGTAAGAAGATATATATATTTGTATATCAATAGCAAATTTATGGGAATCTGTTACAAAGTTGCATAAGTTTTTTTGTGTGATGTATTTCGTCCTTGACACATCCGAGAGTATGTAAAAACTTCTCCTGACGACCTACTTTCCAATATTAAAATGTCACTGACAAAATATCACTTATAAAAATTAATGGATTTATGTTTAATCCGACATTTTATTAGTTAAACGTTATCACAATAGACATTTCATATTTGAAATAGATGGACAATCTTTATTTATTAAACGGTGTATATCGTCTATATATATATATATATATATATATATATATATATATATATATATATATATATATATATATATGTATGTATGTATATATGTATGTTTATATATATATATATACACTCACACAGAGTGAGAGAGAGACATACAGATACTTAGATATAGATGTATATATACATATATAATTATTTTAACGATATATATATATATATATATATATATATATAGAGAGAGAGAGAGAGAGTACTTCGACGTGGTGTAATGTTTAGCAAGTTTGTCTCGTGAAACTAATAACGACTGAGCAATGAGTTCGATTCTCTCACAGTGCTCTTTACATTTGGTCTTGTGCCATATGTCTCTCTTTATATACGACTGTTAAATATATACATATATATATATATATATATATATATATATATATATATATATATATTAGAATATAGGCTCAAAGTATGCTTAGTAAATTGCTTATAGTTTCAAAAATATGTTATATTTATGGTTTATAGTGCTCAGTATCAGTGATAGAGCGTATATAAATATAACAGTTGACATCACTCAGAGGCGACAGCCTGTTTAATGCTTGAACGCAGTCGTTAGACCATGAAGATTGCCTGAATATAAATATTCCTAGGGAGAATCAGTATATACGTAGCCTGTCAGAAAAAAGGGAAATGTATACGACCATTGATGCAAATCAAAGATAAGGATGGATTAATAGCAAGAGTTATTTAGTGCATTCAGTGCAACAAAAAAGAGGAAGTTATGGAGAGCTATGATCCCCCCTGTCCTCAAAGGACAGGACACGTAAAGAAAGAAAAAGAATACAAAATCCTTGAAAGGCATCCTTCCCTGATTATTCAGTGATAGCAAGGAGAACAAATATCAAGTGGGGTGATAAAAGGTTTAATATTATCTAGAGCCAGTGAGAGGAAGTTGTGGAGAGTCATGAGTTAAAACCTACCCCAATCCGCTTCCGAAATTACTCTGTGAAATACTCTCCCATCTCCAACTGCTTCGTTTGCTTTTCTTGTCATTGTTATTCGTTGGGACACTGAAGTACACGTGCATCACATTAAGATCTCGCCACGGCTACCCGTGGCGGCCACATTAGTTTACTTTGTGAGTATACGCTCCAAAGCCGGAAGTAGTTATTTCGCGACTTCCTGTCACCTGGTTTAATCGGCTTAAGACGCCGTTTACACTCATCAGCATGTTTATAATTAAGATACACCCAACACCTTCCCTCACTTTCTAGCTGCAAATGGACTTTTGTATTTCTCTTCCATTCTACTTACATAATTATTATAATCACAAACCCACTGAGATGTAATCTAAAACTTCGATTAGAAGTACAAGTTCGGTTTTTATTTCTTTGTCTCTATCTCCGGTTTTCCTTTATATATGGGCACAATTAATGATTATTATGCAAGTTTTATGTTTAGATACTGAATTACTACTAGACAGTGATTTCTTCGAGTTGTCTTTCTCATTTGGGTTTTTATAGTCAAAAGCTATCAGTCGTAATCAGTAACCTAAGAATTACTATTATTTTTACTTTTATATAGTCGTACATATTCGTGTATATGCCGACTCCTGATATTTTTTTTTGCATGCATTTTAACTCCTGTAAAATATTACCTGTGAATAGCGCAATCGGTTATCAAAAATGCATGGTCTGTAACTTCTTCAAAAACATTACCTGTGAATAGTGAAACTAGTTGATATGTCCCGGAAAGGGATATATTTGTTCGAAGTAGCAAAGTGGTTGTTGACTACTGTAACCAGGTAGGACAGTCTAGATGGTAACCGTAATGGACTGGTCCTCGTCGTAGTGCTAGGCAATAGACGTAGGCAATAGGCGAAGACTATAGGCGTCCCCCATGTACCTCCATATCAGTCTGTATTTATGGCTGACACCAGCCAATCATATTACTGTGAGGGGGAACCCAAGTGTATGCATAGTCATTACATCACTAATCATAAAATAAATCGCACTAAACTCGAGTATATGCCTTATTTGGACTAGTGTTCTTGGTTGTTATAGTCAAAACGTTTCGATCGTTGTACTTCAGGTCCTTTGTCAGGTATAGTGTTTACTTCGAACTGCTGTTCTCATTTTGATTGTATAATCAAATGTTATCAGTTGTTCTACCTTCCGTCAGTCCTCATTGTAGTCATCTAGGTAAGAATTACCATTATTATACATCTATGTATTTGGACTAATGTTCTTTGTTGTTATAGAAAAAACGTTTCGGCCGTTGTGCTTCAGGTGCTTCTTCATGTTTGTGCCATAGTCAAGCATTATACATTGATCTCTTTGGGCTAGCGTCCTAATCTTGATTGTTATATTCACGACGTTTCGACCGTTGTACGCTCTGGTATTCTTTAGGTGACTTGAATTTCGAACCAAACCCTTTATTCCTTGGGAACACATGGCTCAGTGGATAAAACCGTCGATTGAAGTAATCCAGTGACCTAACCAAAAGAGTTGTGAGTTCAATACCTGGCCACAGTAGAGCGGAAGAAAAAACTTCAAGGGTTGAGTTACTAAAGGGGAATAACTAAAACTGAGATATCCGGTAGAGGCGCGGCATGTGGAACTAGAACAATCTACCCCGGTGGACTAAATAAAGAGTTCGAATCGAAATTCCAACGTATATCACCTGAAGAATGTCGAAGTGTACAACGGCCGAAACGTCGTGAATATGTCAACAAAGATGAGTCCGAACAATGTAAATAAAGTAAATTGTTACAGTACTTCATTTCAGAAATATAGACAGAAAATATTTAGGTTTCGGCGTTAAATGACCCACAGAGGTATTGATATGTCTCTAAACAAAAATAACCAGGCTAAGCCATTATTTCTCTAGTGAGTTTGATAACTGCACTTGTGACTGAACGCAAGAAGAAAAAGCCTTCATTGAAGTACCTTTGCTGTGGATTGGATATCAAGATAATTTTGCAAGATATTGATCACTTCATATTTACATCCTTGTGCCAGATTGAACTGCTTAATTATCAACAATACACAACTGGGCACCTTGCTATGAAGGAATGATGAACTAGTTATCCTTGCTGACAATTTTTACAACTGTGAGTTCGAGCCTCACTGGGTCGCCTCAGGCGTAGCTAATATCAATATCCAATTAACTATTAGGAGTTTTAATCCAAATATTAAGTACGAATTACCGCGTCGGTGGGCAGATAAAAAATGATTTAATCTTCCAGAATCCAACCTATTGTAAAAATATTCCTTATTCACACAATTGTTGATATAATGCGAGAAACAGGATGTGGTGATTGTGGTCCTCCATAGCTACCTATATTTTTGATCTGAGTAAATATTTTCTTTTTCTATGCTTGCGAGTCATTGTTCTGGCAACCGTTAACACAAGCTCATCAGGCAGGTTATTCGCTGTTTTCTTCTGCCTCTTTTTCTGTAACAATCCCTGAGGGTGTCAATTTTTCCAAGTCCACTTTCCTCATTATATGCCATAAAAATTTCAATTTTAAAAAAGTATAAGTGTACTTTTTGTTTTCACTTTATCAAAAATTTCGTGGTTGCTCACCTGTCCAGTCCATGGTATTCTCAGTATCCGTCTGTAGAGACATATTTCTGTTGCCTCTTCTTCAGCTGTGAGGAGATTAGCCTAAAGGTACTGCCATATTAAGGACTGATATTAAATAATAGTTCAGCCATATTTGTTTCTATCCAAGTTTTTCTGTTTCTTAATACTTTACTTAACTTTTGGAAGGCATCTTTCGCTTTTCTGTTTCTCTGTTAAAAACGTACCAGAGATGTACATTTTCGTACTTGTTTAATTTTAACCGTCACACACATATTGCTAACCAGACTGACAGCACATGTTTACTGAGAATAATTGCGACGGTCGAATTTGCTTGAACAAAATAAAAAAAAAATTATTATAATATATATATATATATATATATATATATATATATATATATATATATATACTAGAAAAATACGAGAGGATCATGAAAACAAATTGATTTTGCGCCTCAAAACACTTCGTTCAGACGGGCTTAACCACAAATTTAACAACATAGATAGAATTAATATATAACCCCATAAATCAATCCCTAACCACATTTCTCACCAGCATAAGACAGACATGCTTCCAGAGGTGTTGAAGTCTCACACGCACTGATACTAATAAATACACATACACATATCATACACACTCCCAAAGAACTAAAAGATAACATGCACTTAACACACACATCACATTCCCAGCAACCAATAAAGCTGTTAAAATGACCAAGGAGTTAATTCTTAAAGTCAGGAATCTCCCATCTTTTATCTTAAAATCAACTTTAAAGAGGTTGTTTGAACAACACAAAGACTGACGAAAATTAACGATAAAAAAACAAATGAAAATTACTGATAAAATTCACTTTCTTAAGAAACAGTCATTCAGGCCTGTAGTTCACTGCTACTAACAAGCAGATTTTTTTTCTCCTGATGTTGGCCATGCTGGCCGAAACTAGTCGAGGAATCTAATTGAAATAATAGAACAAAAAATATTAATATACAACCCAGTGTGTGTGAAAATTTTAATTTTAAAAATATTTCTTATTGTCCAATATATATATATATATATATATATATATATATATATATATATATATATATATATATATAATAAATTCATGAATCACTCATACAAAAAACAAATATAGAGGTTAATGATTTAAATGGTGAGAATACATCCTCGCAAACAATATAAATAAGATACATCAACCCCGAACCTGTATATGAATGATATGATCCCTGTTCATAAATTCCATTTGCATAAGGTCTTTTAATTTTTACAAGCTTTCGTCTGTTCCTACAGACATCCTCAGGTATGGAAATAGATTTTGTTCTTGTTTTTACTTCTCGGTAATAAGAGGACAACGAAAATAGAGATGTAATTCGAAAAAATGCTATGAGAAATGTGTTATTGTTTTGGAACGTGCGGTCGCAACGCTGAGTTTGAATTTAAAGTTCCAAAACAATAACACATTTCTCATAACATTTTTTCGAATTACATCTCTATTTTCGTTGTCCTCTTATTACCGAGAAGTAAAAACAAGAACAAGATCTATTTCCATACCTGAGGATGTCTGTAGAAACAGACGAAAGCTTGTAAAAATTAAAAAGACCTTATGCAACTGAAATTTATGAACAGGGATCATATCATTCGTATACAGGTTCGGGGCTGATGTATCTTATTTATATTGTTTGCGAAGATGTATTCTCGCCATTTAAATCATTAACCTCCATATTTGTTTTTTTATGAGTGATTCATGATTATAAATTATAATTTGCACCTTTAATTGAAATTAATATATATATATATATATATATATATATATATATATATATATATATAATCTGTTTTCTTTTCGGATTTTATCAAGAGTGTACAAAATGAGAATAGAATGATAAAGTTAAATTGTAAAACCGAAAATATTTTAAATCAGACTTTTAAATCACACCTGACATTTTTGTGACAACCTTGTTAATTCAGAGTGAATCTATTGAAAACACTCGTGAGTTAACTGTCGCACCCTTAAAATAGAAAATATATCAAAACATGTGAGCCTGAAGTAGTTTTTTTATGTTAATTAGTATGAGGTTATGATCGAGGTCAGACCCTAAAACAGATTGTAAACTAAAGGTCACAATGTAATCAAAGGTTACAAGGTCAAATTTATTTTCGTTTAAATTTCCATAAAAAAAAATTAACATAATAACTAACAGAATATTGAGTGATTATCGATTTTAGGTTGTTAAGAAGATGATTTTCTCAGGCGACTAGTAACAACCTTTCACCTAACATTCGATTTCAACGATTTTAATATCGATCTATAGAAAGAAAATCATAGAACTATAGCCAACACTTTGAAAGAGAGTTTCGCTCAGCTGAGATTGGATAGAAAAATTGAGCAGTAGATCAGGGAAAAATCTGTTTTTTTACATATTTTATATCATGCGAAATCGATCCGTTTCTCTTCCTCCCTACCTCCCTCACCTCTATCTATCTATCTATCTATCTATC